TGTCACTATTTTCCATTTTTAATTTTTCCAATTCCTAGACTTTCCAATTTTTAAAATTTTCAATTATCCGATTTTCAAATTTCTTTAATTTTCAATATTTCGATTTTCCTATATTTCATCAATTTTTATTTTTTCAAATTCTTAATTTTTCAAGCTCTTGATTTTAATTTTTTTTTTTCGATTTGGAATTTTTATTTTCTCGATTTTATAGCACAATTTTTGTTTTTTCGTTCCTTTATTTTTTCAATGTTTCTTTTGATTTTATATTTTTTTGTAGTTTTTTCATTTTTTCAAAATTTTGATTTTTGATTTTTCAGTTCCTCGACTTTCGAATTTTGAAATTGTTTAATTTTGCAATTTTTGGTTTTCTAAATTATCCCATTTTCCGATTTCTTTAATTTTCAATGTTTCGATATTCCAATACTTCGTTTTCAATTTTTTTATCAATTTTGAATTTTTTGGATTTTTAATAATTTTTCGATCCTTCAATATTCAAGTTCTTGATTTCCAGATTTTAGATTTTTCAAAGATTTCAATTAATATTTTTTCGTTTTTTCATTTTTGATTTTTCGATTTTATAATTTTGAACTTTTTCAATTCTTTGGATTCGAAAACAAATCGGAAAACTGAAACAACGAAAAGCTGCAAAATCGAAAAAAATAAAACATCCAAGAAATAAAGAAAGGAAAAATTGAAACTTTGAAAAAGTAAAAATCGGAAAAATTAATGAAAATTGGAAAATCGAAATATTGTGAATTCGAAAAATTATAAAATCGTGAAAATTGTAAAACCTAAAAACTGTAGCATGAAAAAATCGAACAAATTGGAAAATTAAAATCGAAAAATTGAAAAATCGAATAAATGAAAATGTTTAAAAATCTAGTAATTGAAAAATTGGAAAAGTAAAAGATTTTAAAAATTACTAAAAACTGAGTAATCGAGGAACTGAAAAATGTACAACTGAAAAAACGAAAAATTAAAAAATTTGAAAGTTCAAAAACCAAAAACTTGAAAACGAAAAAAAATTTCACGATGAAAAATCGAAATAATGTAAAATCAAAGCATTGAAAAATCAAAAAATTGAAAAATAAAGAAAATGAAAAACTGAAACGAAAAATTGAGAAAACGAAAAACTGATAAATTAAAAATTTGAAACTCGTCAAATTGTAAAATTTAAAAATTGAAACATCCAAAAATGTAAAAATGAAAACTCGAATTATATTTGGCAAAGTTGAAGAATCAAAAAATTATAAAATCGGAACATTAAAATCGAAAAATTGTGAAAATAAAGAAAATAAAAAGCCGCAACAAAAATTTCAAATCGAAAATTTGAAGGAACGAAGAAAAATTGAAAACTGAAAAATTACAATATCCAAAAATAAAAAAAAAATACGTTCAAAAAAGATAAAATTATAAAAGCAGAACACTCGAAAATCGAAAAATTGGAAAAACTAAAAAATAAAAAGTCGAACCGAAAATTTGAAAAATAAAAAAAAATGAAGAATTTAAATTCAGAACGTTGAAATACCGAATTAGTGAAAAAGCAAAGAAAATGAAAAACCGATACGGAAAATTGAAAAACTGATAAATTAAAAATTGGAAACTCGTCAAATTGCAAAACTTAAAAATTGAAACATCCAAAAGTTGGAAACTCGAGAAACTGAAAAATTTAAAAATGAAAACTTGAATATTTATATAATTTGGCAAAATTGAAGAGTCAAAAAATTATAAAATCGGAATATTAAAATCGAGAAATTCTGAAAATAAAGAATGTCAAAAAGCGAATAAAAATTGCAATTCGAAAATTTTAAAAAACGAAAAATTAAAAATAGAAAAATTAAAAAAGTTCACATTGAAAAAAAAAATGAAATTATAGAAGCAGAATATTGAAAAATCGAAAAACTGAAAGGACCATAAACTGCCAAATTGAAAAAAACAGAAAATCGAAAAAATTGAAAAACTGAAACTTTCAAAAATTAAAAATCGAAAAACTGAAAAGAAGAAAAAACGAATCGAATGAAAAATTGGGAAACCTAAAAATTGTGAAATCGAATTGAGTATTGGAAATCGCAAACTCCAAAAATCAAAAACTGAAAATTTAAATTATTGGAAAGTTTAAAAACTGGAGAATGGAAAAATTAAAAAATCTAAGATTCAGAAAATCAAAAATTGAAAATTCGAAAGTTAAAAAACCGAAAATTTGAAAAATCGAAAAATTGATAAATTTACTTTTAAATTTAATTTTAAAGTACTTATCTATCGAAAAATTGAAAACCGAAAAATTACAAAATCCAAGAATTAAAAAATCTACATTGAAAAAAGATAAAATTATAAAAGCAGAACCTTGGAAAACCGAATAATTGGAAAAATAAAGAAAATAAATAACCAAAACGAAAATCTGCATTCGGGAAATCGGGGACATGAAAAATTGAAAATCGGAAAACTGAAAACTTGAAAAATTATAAATTGAAAACTTTTGAATCTGCAAATCGAAAAATTGTGAAATCTAAAAACTGAAACATCCAAAAGTTTGTAAAATGAAAACTGAAAGAGTTGCACATATCGTGAAATTGAAAAAATAAAAAAAAAAATGAAAATTGAAAATCCCAATTGGAAAAATTGAAGAAACGAGAAATTGAAAAAATTAAATTTAAGGAAAAATAAAAATTTAATAAAATGGGAGCATTGAAAAACCGGGTAATTAAAAAATTATGAATATAAAATAGCCAAACGAAAAATTGCAAATCGAAAAATTTAAAAATTAAAAATTTTAAACTCCAGAAACTCAAATCCAAAAACTACAAGAACGATAAACTAAAGAAACGAAAAATGAGACGAATTAAATTGAAAAAAAAAACAAAAAATTATAAAATCGGAAATAAAAAATCGAAACAAAAATTGCAATTCAAAAAACTGAAAAAATAAAAATTGAAAACTCGAGAAACTCAAATAGAGAAATTCAAAAGTTGGAAAATTGAATCTAACAGAAAAATTTATAATTGAAAATTCGAAAAATCTCGAGTCGAAAATTTTAATAAATGTGAGAATAAAGAATCGAAAAATTGAAAAATTAAAAACAGAAAACTCAGGCAATTTTAAATCAAAAAAATATCAAATCGAAAAACTGAAGAAACGAAAAATGGAAAGAATTTAATCGAAAAAACAAAAACTTATAAAATGGAAAATAGAAAACCGAAACAAAAATCGCATTTCAAAAACTGAAAAATTAAAAATCAAAAACTCGAGAAACTCAAATTGAAACATCAGAAGTTGGAAAATGGAATACCTAATTGAAAAATTTAAACTCTAAAACTCGAAAACTTATAAATCGAAAATTTGAATAAATAAAAGATTAAAGAATCGAAAAATTGAGAAATTAAAAATAGAAAAAAACGAAAACTTGAAGTCAAAAAAGCTGCGGAAATGTTGATTTTAACTACATAGAGATTATCGGTGAACAAAAATCGCAATTTTTTTTATAATTGTTCAAAGAAGCGGCCTGTGTTGGGCTGTACCTCAGAGACAAAGTAAGTTCTATCCAACCAATTTTTCGCGATCGTTTCGGAGACAACCCCCATGCCCATATTATTCAAAACCCGATCGGATAAAGAAATTAGGCAAAAACTCGCCCACCCCCATCAGAATGTATGTCACATCCGACATGATTAGCCTCCTGTCGAATTTAAATAATCCGACCCCCGGCTGGTAAATGAACGCGATTGCAAAAATCCCCCCGAACCGCGTACATTCGCAAACCGCCTCCCGCCAGACACACACAGCCGCCGCCCCCGCGTATACCGAATGACACAATAAATAAAAGCAGAATTGATTACGCTGATTGCCTCGCGGCCTGCGTTTAACATAAATAAAACGAACACAGCGCTAAATTGTACGCGGGAGCAATTTTAATCGGGCCGCGTACGCGCGTAATTACCGGAGGGTGGCGGCGGCGGCGGCGGCATCATGCCCGCCGATGTTTATGAGTTCTTTAAATATTATTACACGGCACGGGTGATTGTTGTTTGCACAACGATACGGCTAATCATGCGTGATGAGGCAGTTAAGTGGCGCTGATTGATTCGGGGGCGGGCGCCGCCCCCGGCCCTTTTTCGCGATTTGCATGACCTTTCAACTCGGAGGGCTGGCGTGTCGGGCCCGCGACACGTTTCAACTTTTTCACCTAATATTATAAAAGCTGCATTTGACATAATTGTCGGTTTGAAATCCAGAGACTTTATTAAGCTGGGTAAGGTTAATAATAAAGTAGGCCCTGTGCGGATGTCGGGCGGCGGTGTCGCGTAAGCCTACGGAGATGTGACAGCCGCCGCAGGGGCGGCGGGGGCGGGCGCCGGACAAGAAAAGCCGCGTGGGTGCAACTGAGCGCTTCTTGCTTTTGCTAAAAATAACAGACGGGTTGGTTACTAAAAAACTAGTCTGAAGTCTGAGCGTCGTTGACTATTTACTTATATTGAAAACTGTCGAGTTAAGAGAGGCGACGTTAGCAGCGGGCGCCACCTGGTGGCCAGTAGCGCAATCACTACTAGCCGAATTAAATAAAAACGTAATAATGCACTTTTTGTTCCATCGATTCGGCTTTGTCCCCATTCCACCTGCAGCGCAGGTACCAACTGTAAATTAGCATGACGTCGACGGCCCGTCGAATCCAGCGAAGCGTTCACTCTCCAAAGTCTGTTGATTGGTGTTTGCGAAGGATCGTCTTGCACTGGTCGGTCCTGATTTCTCTCTGATTTGAGCAGACCGCTGTTTTATTGGCAGACAATTAAGAGTCATCGGTATTCGGCTCTCATCGCGCTGTTTACAAGTTTGATTGAACGGAGGGGCTTTAACAAGCCTTTTAAAAGGTCGCCCGGCCGACTACAAAGTATTGAAATATTTCGAATCAGCGATTTCCGATTAACGGACTTGCTTTTTACTTTGCGCGCGTAAGCTAAGGAAGTATTGTAATCGGGTCCAAATTTTACCAAAATTTTTTTTGGTAGGTATGGTTTCAAAACCGGAGGGCGAAGTTCAGGAAGCAGGAGAGGCTGGCGCAGCAGAAGGCGTCCAACAACACGAACGAAAACTCGAATCCGCCTAGTAACATCAAGGCGGAGAGCAACGGGAACACCAAGAACAGCCTCAACGGGAAGGACATCAAGCCCGGGTCGCCGCACTCGAGCATCTCGACGACGCCGAACTCCAACACGAGCAGCATCTCGAGCCACCAGTCTTCCAACGGGGTCGACGTCAAGCCGGTGAACGGAAATGGTAACGTTTTGCTTTAAATATAGATTTTTTTTAGTACTTGAGCGCCAACTGAAAATTTTGACGATTTTTGAAATAATCAGTATCAAATTTCAAAGCTAGTCTTTCATTTTTTAGTGTCAACAGTGTTTAGGTGAATATATTATGACATTTACGGTTCGCAGCAACCAACAGTTTTCAAGATTTGCAAAATTTTGGCGAATTTTTGAAAAATTAAATAAAAATGACGCCTAACTGTGGCACATTTTTTCACATTGATTTTGTTTAGAAAGTCCAGAAGAGTTACTTTTAGCTCAAGATCCCAACATACAAGAAAATACATCATTTCTTTTTTTTGTAATGAAAAGAATAGTTTTTCCTTTTATTAAAGCAATTTTTAAGGTCTAATGAAATGAAAAATTCGATTATTTATACAAGATATCAATGGTAATGTTACTGTTTTTTCCTAAATAATCGTATTTAGTTTAGAAAATTTTCAAGGAAAGGAGTTTTTCTTTTTGTTGTAGATATGGGATTAAAAGATGGGTGGGTGGGCGGGGAAACTTTTATTTTTATCATAATGAAATATCTTTATGGAAGTTGAGTTTTATAGATGACTGATCGGGAAATAATTTGCTTGCGACGAAGATAGAGACGATGTAGAATTTTTTTAGTACTTGATCTCTAGCTGAAAATTTTGGCAATTTTTGAGATAATCAAGATCAAATTTCAAACCAGATCTTTCATTTTTTAGTGTCAACAGTGTTCAGGTAAATATGTTATGGCATTTACGGTTCGTAGCAACCAATAGTTTTTAAGATATATAAAATTTTGACGAATTTTTGAAAAAATAAATAAAAAATTATGTCTAATTGTGTCACTTTTTTTCACACTGGTCTTGTTTAGAAAGACCAGAAGTGTTATTTTTTAGCTTCGACAACCTCAAGATCTCAACATATAAGAAAATACATCATTTCTTTTTTTTTTTGTAATGAGAAGAATAGTTTTTCCTGTTATTAAAGCAATTTTTAATGTCTAATAAACTCAAAACTTCGATTATTTATACAAGAAATCAATGATAATGTTACTTTTTTTTCCTAAATAAAGGTCTTTTGTTTGGAAAATTTTCAAGGAAAGGAGTTTTTCTTTTTGTTGTAGATATCGGATTAAAAGTCGGGTGGGTGGGCGGGGAACTTTTATTTATATTGTAATGAAATATTTTCATCGAAGTTGAGTTTTATAATTGACTGATATGGAAATAATTTGCTTGCGACGAAGATAGAGAACACATAGATTTTTTTTAGTATTTGATCTCCAGCTGAAAATTTTGGCGATTTTTGAGATAATCAACATCAAATTTCAAAGTAGGCCTTTCATTTTTTAGTGTCAACAATGTTTAGGTAAATATGTTATGGCATTTACGGTTCGTAGCAACCAACTGTTTTTAAGATATATAAAATTTTGACGAATTTTTGAACAAATATATAAAAAATTATGTCTAATTGTATCACCTTTTTTCACATTGGTCTTGTTTAGAAATACCAGAAGTGTTATTTTTTAGCTTCGACAACCTCAAGATCTACATATAAGAAAATACATCATTTTTTTTTTTGTAAAGAGAAGAATAGTTTTTCCTGTTATTCAAGCAATTTTTAATGTTTAATCAATGACTATGTTTCATAAATAATAAAGGGCTTTTGTTTAAAAAATTTAATGGAAAGGAGTTTTTCTATTTGCTGTAAATATCGGATTAAAACACGGGTGGGTGGGCGGGGAAATTTTATTTTTATTATAATGAGATACCTTTATGGAAATTGAGATTTATAAATGACTGATCTGGAAATAATTTGCTTGCGACGAAGATAGAGACGATTTAGTTTTTTTGTAGTACTTGATCTCCAGCTGAAAATTTTGACGATTTTTGAGTTAATCAATATCACATTTTAAAGCAGGTCGTTAATTTTTTTGTGTCAACAGTGTTTAGTTAAATACATTATAGCATTAACGGTTCGTAGCAACAAACAGTTTTTAGGATTAATAAAATTTTGACGAACTTTTGAAAAATTAAATAATAAATGACAACTAATTGCGTAACATTTTTTCGCACTGATCTGGTTTAGAAAGTCCAGAAGTGTTATTTTTTAGTTTTGACAACCTCAATCATTCTTTTTTTGTAAGGAGATTAGTTTTCCCTTTTGTCAAAAATTTTTTTAATGTCTAGTGAACTCAAAAATTCGATTATCTATGCAAAAAATCAATAATAATTGTTACTTTTTTTTTTCGTAAATAAAGGGATTTCGTTTATAAAAATTTCGTGGAAAATAGTTTTTCTTTTTGTTGCGGACATCGGATTAAAATATGGGTGGGAGGGTGGGGAACTTAAATACTTAATAATATTAATAATCTTTATGGAAGTTGAGGTTTTTGTTTATTATGTCAATTTCCTTATTTGTCGTGCTCTTTGGGCCCTTTTTATCACATTTTCCTTGACACTTTTTGTATTTGATTTTTTGATTATTGTTTTGGTAGCATTTTTTGTTCCGGTTTTTGACCCCTTTTTAGTCATTTTTTATAGGAGCCTTTTCCTCATTTTCTTAATTTTTTATCGTTTTTCATCAGTCTTTATTGAATCAAATAAGCCAATTAAATTCAAAAGCGGAGGTGGGTGGGGTTAGTTTTACCTTTTCGTTTAGATTCCATTGTCAATCGATAAAGAATCCACTTTTTGTCCAATAAAATGTGTCATCGGAAAGAAAACCGGGTGGGTGGGCGGGTCAACTTTTTATTTTTGTAAGTGTAGCTTTGACCACTTCATAAAAAAATCGGTCTTCGTCTAATCTAATTAACGAACGAAATTCAAAAACGGGGGTGGGTGGGGTTAGTTTTGTCTATTTTTCTATTGTTTGACAATATAGAATCCACTTTTTGTCTCAGCCAATCAAGTGAGTGACTAATTTCATTGGTGTTGAAAAATTGAAAAGTTGCCCAAAAATCCAAAAAAGAAGACAATTTTAGAAATTCCGGAAAAAGTCAATTTTTAAATGTCGTCAAAATTATTATATTTCATTTGGCGATTGTATGTAAAAATAAAAAAAAATCCGGGCCAAAGATCTTGATGATCTGAAGCAAAAACCAAAGCGTATTGAAATTCCTCATTCAAATTTTTCAAAAATTCGTTCTCTAAGTCAAATTTCTAAGATATCCCAAAAATTGCCAGATTTCAGTTTAGAGATTCTGCAAAAAGGGTGGGAATTTAGAAGTCAAAATCAATAAAAGAGAAAAATTCTGAGAGGCAGATTTTGACGAACCAACTCAAAAAATATTGCGTGTTGATAATTCCGGACCAAGATTTCAGGCAAATATCTAAAATTCGGGAGGAATCGAAACAAATATATTAAGAACTTGTTTAGAATTATTCCTGAAGAACTGGGTGTCCAAAAAATGATGAAAAAAATTGTGACTGCTCAAGATGATACATCTATCGGGGGAAATTAACCCCAAATCAATAAGAAGATTGGTGTCCGAAATATTCGGATCCAAAATCAAATTTGTAAAATGGTCAAAAATTCTCATATTTTATTTTGGGTAATAATTTTCAAAAAAAAAAAACTGGAAGTCGAAGATAACAAAAGAAATTATTGTGGAAATGTCAACGGCGCATGGGAAAAGCCCAAAATTTCGTACGTAGTAATTTCGAACAACTGAGCCTTTGACAAAATTGCCTAAAGATTCACAAAAAATTCCAGGTTATAGATCTTGACGAGCGAAACTAATAAGTAATAAACATAACGTATTAACATTTCCAGAACAAAATTTTTCAAATATTCGGTTTCAAATTCAAATTTTAAGATATCAGAAAAATTACCATATTTCATTTTGGCGATTCTGAAATATGATAGGAATATTTCTAGAAATGGAACCGAAAACAACTTCTCGAGGAAGAAACCAAAAAAGAATCTCTTCACAGAATTTTCGAACTTATCGATAAAAAGTCAAAAATTAAAAATTGAACTGTTGGCAAATTTGGCCAAAAATCCACAAAAGTTCTAGCAGGTAGATGTCGACTAGCGGACTCAAAAAATGAATGCTTGAAAACATTTTAGGAGCAATCGAAGCACTTTTGTTATAGATCGGAAAACCTGAGATAACAAAAATTGTGAAAAAATGGTTTCCCAAATATTCGATTCCTAATTCAAATTTTTATAACACCCAAAAACTGCCATATTTTATTTCGGAAATTCTAGAAAAAGGTAGAAATTTTCGAAGAAATGAAACCTAAAACCACTTCTGCGGGTTGAAATCAACAAAAGAATCTCTTTAGCTAATTTTCGAAGGCGTCCGGGAAAAGGTAAAAAAATTACAAATAGGAGAGTATTGAAATTTTTGGTGCAACTTTCTCAAAAATTCGTTCTTCCTCGGTTTTTTCATATCTGCAACCGTTTTTCCAGAATCGACCGTTAAAATATCGAATATTTTGAAATTTTCAAAAATTCGCATTTCGCAACGATTTTTTCGAAAATGTTGCTTCTTAACAAATCAACATGCTATATTTCTGGAATCCGCGTGTCGAGATCTACGTCCCTGAATTTTTTCATAATTTTTAGACAACTTTTTGAAAATTGAAATTTTTTAACGGTCCCCCCTTCAAATTTTGCAAAAATTTTGACATTTTCGAAACTCAACTAAATACATTTTCTCGTAGATTTCGAGTTCTAAAACTAAAATCCGGCCTCGGTGTTTTGATAACTGCAACCGTTTTTCCAGAATCGATCGTTAAAATATCGAAATTTTTGAAATTTTCAAAAATTCGCATTTCGCAGCAAGTCAAATTTGTAAGATATTCTAAAAATTGCCTCTAGAACTCAAAATCAACAAAAAAATTTCTTTGGAGAATTTTCGAAGGTGTTGGATAAAAGGTAAAAAATTTTCAAAGCTTTGCGATAAAATTTCAAAAATATTGAAAAGTTGAACTGTTGGCAAAGTTGCCCAAAAATCCAGAAAAATTCTGAGAGACAGATTTGGAC